GGTATCATTTAAAACTCTTGCAAGAAAGTTCAATGAAAAGCACATGAAGGCTTTTCCTTTCCCTTTTTCTCTTTCATACCACTTAAAATTTAAATATTTTTTCTAGAAAGAAATGTGATAAAGTATTTTAATAAATATACCACTGATTTTATGGTGAACTTAATACTTCTTATATTCTCCATATATCCATTTAAATTCCTGTTCTGCTGTGCTTATGATCTGTTCTTATTTCAGCCTTCAGACATAAGCCATGATTCTTAAAGTAATAATTGTTAAATACTGGTCTCGAGTTATAACAAAATAGGAACTTCAAAACACTCTGCCCTTGATCTTTAGGAAAAGTTAAAAAGCTTTGAGAATAAATCTGCATGCCAGTATCAGAGGGATGCCATTTTCATAAAAGCAATTTATACCAGTATGCTTAACCTAGTATTAAGGTAGTCTTGATTTCCTCTTTAAATCTAATGTTCCTAATTATCAGTAATTAAAACAAATTTTGGGATATAGCTCTTATTAAACAAGACAAATGCTGCATGAAATGTAGTGTGACTTTTCCCTTACTGCTTTGTCAGGAGATTTCTCCAGAGACATGTATTTCTTTCCAAAGCTTTCTATGTCTTTAAAGAGCTCAGTAAGAATAGTTTCTTTCTGGTGTAACTCTCAGCTTGTACATTCAAAAAGAGGATTTATAATGTACTATAGACTGCAAGATATTGCAGTAAAAAGAATTTTTACTGTAGAAAGATAAATCATACTCTCTTGAGAAGACTACTTTAAATGCAGGAAGAATTTTATGTGTGGCAATAATTTGAGATTTTATTTCACTAATTATGCTCAGAATGTTTATATATCAATGTTTCAGAACTCATCTGATATAAAATGTCCTAGTAGAATATTCACATTGGACCAGGATTGGACAATTTCCCACAGTATGGGATGGGAAAAGTATGTTTGAATTTCATCATTGCATTCCTAGGATCAATGTTTAATTTTGGGTTCCTGCTTAAACCTCAGACCAATAAAAGTAGCTAGTGTGTCCAGCAGCATATCCAGGCCTTTCTCCTATTTCTTTCCTTTAAGTCATTGTCACCAAGTTAGTGTGGTGATTTAATAAAAGAAAAACGATAATGAAAGCAATGTGAATTACCTTAATCAGAAATGGCATAAAGGATTATAAAAGAACACTTGTATAATACCCAGGATGGGCTTTCAACTCCAGAATCTTATAGAAATTATGTAATGATTGATGTTCTTGAATGGGAGGAAATAGATCTGGGAAGAAGAATAAACTTTCACATCCTGTGCTTATTTGTGCATACTATTTCCTTGATATAGTTTGCCAAAACAGAAAAGTAAACATAATTAGCAAAAACAAAAATACGAACTCAGTACCTAGAACCTTGTAAAAGACTTACAAATCAATGCACCATATATATAAAGACAGCATTCACTGCATACATTTGAAAAGATGTGAGGTTCAACTTGTTTCCTTTGCCACTGATTTCAATCACAAGAATTTGTTTTTCCAGTGATGGAATGTGGTGGGCCAGCACACCCAGCCTCCAAGCCAGCCCTGACCTCTGAATCTCCAACATACCTGAGAGATGTAATATTTCCTGCCATATCTTTAGGCAAGGACGTCACAGTCACCAGCAATTGTAGCCACCATAGATGGTGAGCTGGTGAGCCCTAAGGGCACTTAGGAAGGAGATGAATGCCCGCTATCAGACTGCAGCCACTGCCTACAGTGAGTGCCAAGCCAGCTCAGGATGTGAAAAACATAGGATTCTGGCCCCAGAATAGCTGCAATGCATATCACAGGAATGTTTTCAGTGAGCCCAGTCTCCTACATCTTCTCACACAGAAACAGGGCTAAATTCCTTAACTTGAGATACCTGGTTTTCTTTAGCAATAATCTTTTGATGTTAAGACCACCTACCCTTTGTTACAAAACTTCTATATCACCTGGCTCTTTCTCTCCTGTCCTGGAAGCATTTCTCTCAGGGTTACTTGAGGTGCTAGCTCTTGGTTTTGAGGCCCTAAAATTTTGCACCAAATAAAACAGAACTCTCAATTTTTAGGTTGTGAATATTGTTAAAGTCTGCAACCCTTTCCCACTAGCCTTGCTTACTGCATTTTTAAATACCAGAAAATCCTAACTTCAGTATCATATAGTTTTACCTTTCCTTGTGAAGTGAAAACTTTAAATAAATAACAGTATTGCCATTAAAAAGGGAACATGAATAACATGATGACATTTATGAAAATAAAAAAGCATATGCATAATTACTTATGGAAACACACAGGAAAATGGCTAAAAGAGCATATAGAAACAAGGGCATATCCTTAGGAAGGAAGTGAAACCTAATGGGATGAAATGGAATTTCAGTTTTTTTGTCTTAAATATTTTGTGAGTTAAAACATACGGAGTTTTCAGTTTTAAGTACATAAAGCAATGACTTCCCTGGTTGTCCAGTGGTTATGACTCTGTGCTTCCAATGCTAGGGACTCAGGTTTGATCCCTGGTGAGGTAACTAAAATCCCACATGCTGTGAGGTGTGGTCAAAAAGAAAAAAAAAATGTATATAAAGCAAATGGTAAGCAAAATGAAGTGCCCTAAAAGTAAGACTAATTACAAAAATTTAATTAGAAAATTTGGTGTAAACATCAGAAACATTGAAAGTATACCATGTTTATTTAAATATGTAGTTATGATTTTTGTTCTGTAAAAGAAATCCGGCCTCTGGTGGCCGTCCGGTCTGGGGGCTCCGGGCGCTTAGGGGAAGCCCCTCCTCCCTCCCCCTAGAAAGCCCTGGAGGCCCAGGGCGGAGGCTTCGCCGTTTCGCTGTGATATAACCTCAACTGACAGTCCTGTCAACCGCTCTGATCTCCCTCATAGCTCAGTGTCCCTTAACATCTTCTAAGATGGAGCTTACAGGGGTCTGGGTGTCTCCTCGCAGAGCCCGGCGCACCAGCACCTTGGGTCCACAGAGAACCCCAGGCAGAGGAGGAACCCGACGCACCCCCCAGCCGGCCGGCCCAGCCGACTTCCAGGCGGGGTTAGGCTGGGAAGGGGCACCAGAAAATCATTAAAGCAAACCTGTAGGGAGAGCAGTGCCCCGCCCGCCGGAGTCGAGGAGAGCCGCTTCTCCCGAGCGCGCGACGCGCAAAGAGCCACCAGGAGTTCTTTCGGCCAGACTGCTTGGTCTGGAGAATGAGCGCTCCCTCAGCGCGCCGGGCGCCCGAGACTCTGCAGAAGGCCACTCCATCGAGCCCTGCGCACTTGGCGCGCGTCCCACGGCCGGAGAGCCCGGGACTTCTGCCCGCCACTCGCCTCCTTCGGGCAGGCTCTGCAAGGCAGACCCGGGCCTCTCGCCTGCGGGTGCGATTGCTTCTAGGGAACAACCACAACAAAAAATGACCCAATAGCAGCTGCGCTTGCCCCTGCCTTTCCTCTTCTGGGCTTTTTCTAGGAGCGCAGAAACCTGGCCAACAGACCGCTTCGGAAGGCAGAGGGCGGCTCTGGCGCGGCAAAGGCAGAGTTGTTTGGCTGTTAGGTTTTCTTTCTTAAACCTTGGCAGCCATTTGGCTCAAGGACACACTGGCCACATTCTTCTGGGAGATGCAGGATGGTTGGATCCCCTCCGCCCCCGACTTCTCCTGGAGACCCTCTGCAGCTTTTCTTGCCCTCCCCCAGTTTTGGATCCTACTCCAAACACCTTTGATACCCTTCCAGTTTCTTATTTAAGTATCAATTTCCTGAGAACTGCTAACTTCATTGATAGGAAAGATCTGATACTTAAGAGTAAGACGTACTGAGGTGGTAGTGGCTAGGTTCTGAAACCCCTTAATATTTGCATTTTAAAACAGGATCTAGATAACCTCCAGGAATCTCTCCAGTCATCTAAAACGGGGTGATATTGCAGGCAGGGTAGGGCCTAGAGGACTTTCATTACATCATCCAGAGAACTCTCTCTAGCGCGGGCAGCTTCTTTGGAGAGATCCCAGACTGCCAAGGCCCGGGAAACTTGGAGAGCGGTGGCGCCAGGACTGCCCTGGAGGACTCGTTTGCTTGTTTGTTTCTTTGTTTCGGCTCTTCCCCAGATCAGGCCTTGCCACCATTGTCCAAGCGGACAATGAATTTCAAGTCATTTGAATTTAAATATCCGGTAACTCACAAGATTCCTGTTAAGAACTCTCACCTTTTTACTGGGCTCACTGTACCTGTGTAGAAGTGTTAAAAGAGGAAGACAGAGGCAGAGGGGCCCACTAAATTTGGGTTCAGGAGACACTGGGGCCGGTGCTTCCCGCCTCCGCCGAGGGGCGCGCGCACCTAGGCTGTGGCCCTGCCCTGGCCTCGGAGACCTCGCAGACCCAGGAGCACTACTGGGGCTGATTTCTTTCTTGGCGCTATGGGATGAGACTTGTTTTGGAGCCAGAAACGCTAGTGCAGGGCCGCCGCAGAGTAATGAAGAAACAAAGTTATGTTGGGGGAGGGTGTGGGCCGCTAGAAATCCTGGGGCGTCCACACCAAACCCGAGACTTGCGGTCACCTTGCCTGAATCTCGGCTCTGTGTGCGCCTGGGGCCGGCAGCTTGGTAGTGTCCGCCGTGGCACTGGGAGGGGACCGAAGGAGAAAAGAGGGAGCTTCGACACCCCCTTCTCGTCCAGCCCCCTGACCTGCGTCCAGCGGAGCGTCACTCGTGAACTCCTCGCCTGTCCCTCGGGCCCGGGTGTGACTTGTGCTCTCGGAAAGCGGGAAGAGCCCCAGGCTCGGGGCGTTCTTGGGCAGCCTCCCTGATTCTCCGCCCTCTCTGCTCTCATCTCTGCTCTGGGCATCCTCTCTGACCCCTCAAAGGCCCCAAGAGTTTGGTACGAGTTGGGAAAGGGAGCAGGTGCCTAGGCCGGATAGAGACCGAAAGGAGTCCACGAGCTTCCTCTTTGCTGCCAAGTGGACGAGTTGCGCTACTCTGGCAGCCGGTGGCCGTTTCCAAACTTTTTCACTCTTGGGCTGGGAGAAGCAATGCATTCCGGATCCCCGCCTTCGAGGCAGGCACTCGGAAAACTCTGCCGGCCTGCCGGGTTCCACTCGGCCTGAAGTTGGGAGGCGACCCCACGGACGCTTGCGAGACGATCCACCGCACTTGAGTGCAGGTCCTCCTTGCACCTCCAGGGCTCCGCGCCGCCCGCCGCTCCCTGCCTCTCCTAGGTGTTTCAGGGTCGGGCCGCACCTCGGAGCCCCGAGGCTCTGCGGGCGCTAATAGGCGGTGAGAAGGAGGGGAGGTGGATGTGAGGCGCGTGCCTGGTGCCGCGGGAGAGCTGGCGCGGCGCACCCTCCTAGCTGGCAGAGGGCGGAGATCTCGGAGTCCCGAGTGCCGCTTAGCTGCTCCCGACTTCCTGCAGCCGGGCCAAGCCCCCGCGGGCTCTCCGGGCGCCTCACCCGGGACCGAGGGAGGAGGAGGGGAGAGGGAGGGAGCCGGCGGCCGAGGCGCACGCCTCCAGTCCGCGTTAGCCCGGCACCCCCGTGGCGCGGCGAGTCAATGGGATTTGCACACTCGAGGTGTAACAGCATTACTGCATTAATTACCATTTCCATTTCACGTCCAGATTGTTTATTTATCTGCGGGAAACATATGTCGGGAGAAGTTCACATTCCGGATTCTGCTCCACTGCCCAAGGTGCAATTCCGGGGAGGCGGCGAGGGGGAGGGGAGGGCTTCAGATTTGTTATTACACCCTCTAGCCTTATCTGCCGCTGTAAATTATGAGGATCCTCCACTGAGCGGCATATGGAGATTATATACTTTTTTGAATATCGTTTCCCAAAGCCTGCAGATTTTCACTTTGAAATGAAACAATCCTCCGCCGGCTCCCCCGGGGTCTGGAGCCTGCTGCGCTCCTCTGCGCGACCCGGGGGACCCTTTTTGCTGGGCCAGGCTCACACCCATGTCTCCAGTGCCGCGCGGCCAGCGCCCAGAGGAGCCCTGTTTCCAGAATCTGAAATAATTTCTCTAGGAAAACCCATTCGTACGAGTGTTCGAGAACCCACGCGGCGCTCTGCTCTGTTTTCCGCACCTCAACCCCGGACTTCTGCGTAGTTTGCAGCTTTTTCATTTCGGATACCCGCGTAGACGCGAGCCCACTTCTGCCCTCTTCCTACGCTGGGCGGCTCCAACCCCGAGGCGAGGGTCGAGGTGTCCACGCCCGCCCACTGCAGCCTCCCTTGCGCTCGAGCATTTAAAAGGTTCCCCAAGGCTTTGGTCTTGGGACAACACCGGCTTGAGACCGCTTCTTGTAAACTCCGAACGGAAATCCTGCGTTGAAGGCAACTGCTTCCCAATCCCGGGAGAAGCAGGACGGACCAGAGCAGCGCAACCGAATCCCATCTTTCTTATCTCCCCGAGACTCCTTTCAGGCTGAGATCAGAGAGGGAGGGAAAGGGAAGAGAGAATCATTGTTCTTCTTTTTTTCATTTAATATACCAAGCCACCCGTTCAGGTCATTTATAAGCTTAATTTAGTGATAAAAGTCAATAAGCACAATCACAGGATTCTCTCCTCTTTCAGTTTCTTTTGACCACATTTTTTTTCACAGTAATTGGAAAACCAGTAAAACATATATGCCCCTGATTTCCACCCTCCTCCTTGTTCAATGCTTTGTCTGAAATGCAATTGTAAGAAATGTGCTTTTGTCATTTGTTTGCTTTTTCTTTAGAACATAAGGGGGAAAATATATCTCTTATGTGGTTATTTTTTATCTTGTTTGGGTTCGATTTGCAGGATTACACACATCCCGTTTATAGACTCCCACTCTCAAAAACAAAATCAGAAATTTCCTTGATTTTTATGATTCTAAATATTCCTTGGGAATATATTGTGATGTTACAGCAGAAACAATTAAATGGACCAAAGTAATGCAATTAAGGGAGAGAAAAAAATAAGTCGGTAGAATGTGGAAATAAACAGATTCTTTTCCACTAAGTATTGTTTTGGGATTTCTAATTTTTTTCTTTGAGACTTCTAAGAAAATTGTGAGGTGTCACTTCTCTCTTCTGAATCTATCTGTAATTGAATCTAGGTCACTATTCTAAAGCAAGGAAAGTCTGCTTCCCACTTTCTTACATCAGGCTGAAATTTGGGGAGGGACAAGGGTCTGGCAATTTCATTTAAAATGTAATGGTGGATGAACTGATTAGCAAATAGGGAAAAAAGAGTCTGCTTAAAAGAGAAAAAAAGGGAGGGGGGGACATGGTTTTAATATGCTCCAGATGGGGGGAAAATGATTTACATGAGAGTTTATTTTCTCTTTGCTGATATGATGAAAGAATTACAGATACAAAACCCACTGATCTATAGAATAAAAAAAGAAAAGAAATGTTAAAAAAAAAGAAATCCAAAGACTTGCCATATAGTGTTTGACTTTTTTTATCTCTCATGTATATGTGTAGGCATTATATCTAAATGAAACAAATTCAGTGTCTATGAATTACATCTGTTACAAATTCCACAAATTCCTTAATATTAAAACTCAAAAACAATATGAAAAGAGCTTTACAAATCAACCATAACACTGATTTTAATGCTGCCCTACTAAAATATTTAAAAATAATGACCTGAACCTTTTTTGTAAAGTCTAGCTTTCTAGGTCTCTTGCTGAAAGAGTACCCCTCTTACTTTACTATTGAGAACATTAAAATCCCCAGGAAAATGGGAGAGATGCTATTACCACATATAATATAATAAGGGGATTTTTGTTCCTTTTAGAGAAAGTCTTCTGACGTTTTTTCTCTTGTCCAGTTATATATATATATATATATATATATATATATATATATATATACATATGTGTATATATATATATATGCTAAGGGTATTTGACTTGTTACTTGTCTGTTACCAAGTGCTATACTACTGAATGAGTCCCTGGTGTCACTTACTTTTCTGTGTGAGGAAGCTGAGCAAAAATTCTCTCACTAAGGCCAAACTATTTCTTTCTTTTTTTTTTTTACTTTAAGGATAGTTTTGTTTATTTATTTTTTTCATTTATTTTTATTAGTTGGAGGCTATTTATTTCTATGCATGGTAGATTCTAGGAGCAAAGATAGCAAGCTGTATTTTAAAATTAAATCAAATAAGTACCTCTAAAATATATAAATATATGTATAGATACATCTGTACATCTTAAGATAGATCAGAATATTCATGTATATCTCACCATTTCTATATCTACATCTAAATCTGTTTACTTCCTTGTATCTCCTGAAGAGGAAAAGGCCACTGAATGTAGACATTAACAGTTATTGTTCACTTGACTTACTATCAGCAAGTTAGTAAAGGCCTCCTGTCTCTCAAAGTACCTAATCTTATTGACTGGACAAAGCCAAAAAATTTTCCTTTGGGTCTAAACTCATCTAATGAAAGCATTTTTTAACTCAATACAAAAATATACACATACACATACATGCACACACAGCTGTTTTTAGTTTTGTTTGTTTTGTTTTGTTTTTAGGCCAGTCTTTTAGTGTAAATAGTTTCACATTTTATTTAAAACTTAAAGCAGAAAAATGAATCCAGTGTTCATAAATATAAGAAATAGCATCATGAATGTGCAAAAAGAAAAAAAGTTTGGAATATCAGAGGTCCCGAGGCACCGTTTGCATTTTTTGTAAACATTTATTCTCTTACAAATTTTTAAGTTTGCTCTAAATATTTAAGGTTTAGATTTATCAATGAAGAGAAGTCCAACATTGCTGTAGCTTGATGATGATGGTCAATTTTGCAATCTTTTACACTACTGCTATATTTTGCCTTTTCCCAGAAGATTAACAAGGGATTTTGCAAGAAGCATTTATATTTTAATTTAAAAATGACACACAGGTACAAAAATGGAAATACAGATCAACGGAACAAGATAGAAAGCCCAGAAATAAACCCATGCACATACATTCAAGTAATCTACAACAAAGGAGTTAAGAATATACAATGAACAAAAAAATCTCCTCAATAAATGATGCTGGGAAGCTAGATAACTATATGGAAAACAATGAAATTAAAACATTTTCTAACAGCACACACACATATATAAACTCAAAATGAATTAAAGGCCTAAATTTAAGGCTGGATACTGTAAATCTCCTAGAGGAAAAGATACACAGAATCTCTTTGATATAAATCACAGCGATATCTTTATGAATGTGACTCCCAGAGTAACGGAAATAAAAAATAAACAAATCGGATCTAGTTAAACTTAAAAATTCCTGCTCAGCAAAGGAAACTGAACACAAACTGAAAAGACAACCTACAGAATGGGGAAAATATTTGCAAATGATGTGATTAATCTCCAGGGATTAATCTCTAAACTATAAAACAGCGTATGCATCTTGATATAAAAATTAAAAATCAAAACAACAACTCAACCCAAACATGGGTAGAAGATCTAAATAAGCATTTCTCTGAAGAAGACATACAGCTGATCAACAGACACATGAAAAGATGCCCGACTCTTTGTGACCCCATGGACTGTGGCCCACCAGGCTCCTCCATCCATGGGATTCTCCAGGCAAGAACACTGGAGTGGGTTGCCATTTCCTTCTCCAGGGGATCTTCCCAAACCAGGGATTGAACCTGGGTCTCCCGCATTGTAGGCAGGTGCTTTACCATTTGAGCCACCAGGGAAGTCCCTCTAATTATTAGAGAAATGCAAATCAAAACTATAATGAGATACCACCTCACACCAGTCCAAATGACCCTTATCAAAAAATGTACAAGTAATAAAGGCTGGAAAGTGTGTGGAGCAAAGAGAACCCTCTTCAACTGTTGGTGGGAATGTAAATTGCTACAACCAGCATGGAGAACAGTAAGGAGGTTCTTTACAAGACTAAAAAGAGAGCTACCATATGACTTAGAAATATCTCTCCTGGGCATAAATCCAGAGAAAACCATAACTTACAAAGATACAGGCATCCCAATATTCAGTGCAACAATTTTACAACAGCTGAGATATGGAAGCAAACTAAATGTCCATCAACAGAGGAATGGATAAAGAAGAGGTGGTACATGTATACAAGGGCATATTATTCAGTCATAAAAAAGGAATGAAATAATGACCTTTACAGCAACATAGATGGATCTAGACATTATCATACTAAGTGAAGTAAGCCAGACAAAGACAAGCATCATATGGTATTGCTTATATGTTGATTCTTAGAGAAAAAAAAGAGAGATACAAATGAACTTACATACAAAACAAAAGAAACTGAAAGACATGGAAAACAACCTTATTGTTACCAGAGGGAAAAGCAGGGGGAATAAATTAGGAGTTTGGGATTAAAATGTACACACTG